AATAACAACTCACTCACCTCGTGATTTTTATATACCCATAAAGCGAAATATATTCCGTATCCAGAAATTTCTTTACTCGAATCATTCTCGAACTCCACCTCTGCAAGTCATCACTGATTCCCAATTATACTTCAGACCATAACAAAATAATTTGACACATAACCATGAATTGAATTGTCAATAGCAGGCTCCCCCACTTACATCGAAGCCATAGATTAAAATACTTGATAACTCACAATATCCATACTTTATTACATCCATAATACTGCAGTCAGTTCAACTAAAATTCTTCTCAAGCTCAAGACACACCAACCATAAAATACCTCAATCATCCGCTAATCTCGCATTCATTCTCTTAACACTCAAGTCAACTTTCTCAACCAGATTCAAATTCAAGTCTCAACACATACGCCCCGCTGGCAGAAAAGAAACTCTCTATTTACATCATAAGGAACACACCTACATATATTGCTCCTCAGGAGATAAGCCACCTGCTTAGTCTCAAATTGGCATCTTTTTTTACCCTTTCGCAGCCACAATTACTATGAAATCACTTAATCTTTCTGAGCCCAAACTCATTAACCAGACACGAGAATTAAATTTTCCCCAAAAAAATTTAACAACGTTACGAATCTTTCAAAACATTCATACTCGAGATTGTACGTCACATCAAACGTAAATAAAGCACATAATGGGCCGCACCTGCGCGCTCGCGCCTGGGGACATCCCTTCCGCTTCAGCGCATCTTGCGTATTTGTGAACAGCCTTGCGCATTTGAGGGCATCGCAGATGCGGAACTACCTCGCACCTGCGACCCAGGTCAACTCTCGACTTCTCGCATCTCTGCTTGCATCTTCGCATGTGCGAGTCCGCTGATGCGCACAAATTCTCTGCACCTGCGGAGACTGCCAAGTCTAGCTCTTCTCGCACCTGCGCCTCCATCTTTGCATGTGCGGCTCGCGCACCTGCGGTCTCTTTTCTACAGGTGCGAAACACCAGAACCAGCAAAGTCACCAAATTTTTCCTAAGTCCAAGTTTCTTCCCGTTAAGCATCCGAAACACGCCCGAGGCCCCCGGGACCTCAACCAAATATACCAACCACTCCTACAACACCCTACGATGTTAGTCGAGCCTTTAAACCATGCCGAACAACATCAAAATCATGAATTAAGCACGAATTCAAACCTAAGAATTTAAAATTTTTAAAATTCTACAAACGACGCCGAACCACATCAATTCTAGTCCGAATGACCTCAAATTTTACACAAAGGTCACAAATGACACTACGAACCTACTGCCACTTTCGGAATGGAATTTCGAGCTCGATATCAAAATTTCCACTATTGGCCGAAATCGCCGAAAAACTATCTTTTGCCAATTCAAGCCTAAATCTACTACAGACCTCCAAAACACATTCCGGACGCGCTCCTAACCTCAAAATCACTCAACGGAGATAACATAGTTGACAGAATTCCATTTCGGATCCGTATTCACACAGTTTCGACTACGGTCTAAACTCTAAGGCTTAAACTCACAACTAGGGACTAAATGTCCCAAAACTCCCCGAATTCCATAACCAAACACTCCGGCAAAATGCCAAAAGCAAAAACAAATATGGGGAAAGCAGATATTAGGGGATCGGGGCTCAAATTCTCAAAACGACCGGCCGGGTCGTTACAGGCATACGGATCACCATGGAATTACTCCTGTATAGGTGACTCTATTTTTGTAGGGGCCTTTATAAAATGTTCTGATTGTACAATAACCTGGATATTAACCAGATCAATTGGTTAGGAAATTTTATTATGCAAATTTATACGGGACTTATAAGGCTCCATTGCTTCACCCTCAATGACTATGGGTAGGAAAATATAGTTCTGAGTTTAAAGTCGCCAGCTCGACTTATTTTCTACACGATTCTTCATTCAACCAGATTAATTGATGGTTGTTTCTCAAATTGCCCTCCAAAATATAATTTTAGTTTGTAACCATTTACATTAAACTTTGCTCCAACACTGATCTGCTAAATCTCAATAGCACCATATGAAGTAACATTTGTAATATTGTAAGGACCTGTTCATCTGGATTTTAATTTTTCAGGGAATAGCCTGAGTTGGATATTGTAAAGAAGTACCTTTTCTCCAATTTTGAAATTCTTTTTACGGATCAAGTTTTTGTGCCATAGTTTTTATTTTTGAAAAAACCTATATTTACCAACAGAGGTCAAATCAAAGTTTAGTGCTTTCAATGCCCAAAAAGCTTTGTGTTCTAATTCAACTGGCAAATAACAAGCTGTTACAAAGATAAGTCTATATGGGGATGTTCCAATCCGCGTTTGAACGCTATTCAGTAAGCCCATAATGCATTATCTAATTTTAAAGACCAATCTTTCCTAGAAATTCCAAACATTTTCTCAAGAATTCATTTTAACTCGCGGTTCAAAACTTCAACTTGTCCTGGAGATTGAGCATGATATGGTGTTCATGTTTTGTGAGTCACACTATATTTTGATAGCAAAGTATAGAATTGTCTATTCATGAAAAGAGTTCCTTGGTCACTAATGATGACTTGCGGTGTGCCAAATCTAGTAAAAATATTTTTTCTAAGAAAATTGCACACTGTACGAGCATCATTCTTTCTTGTGGGGATAGATTCAACCCATCTTAACACATAATCTACAGTCACAAGAATATATTTAAAAGAGTGAGATGAAGGAAAAGGTCCCATGAAATCTATTCCCCAAATATCAAATATTTCACATACATGTATCGATTGCAATGCCATATCATCTCTTTTAGTGATGTTACCTGTTCTCTGACACCTATTACATTGTGCAACATATGTTCGGGCATCTTTAAAGAGTGTCGGCCAAAAGAATCCAGCTTCCAAAACCTTAAAAATTGTTTGATTTGTTGCATAATGACCTCCAATTGCTCCATCATGGCAGTGATATTAAACTTTGGTCATCTCTTCTTCAGGCACACATCTTCTAATTATATTATCTGTACAAAATTTAAACAAGTAAGGTTCGTTCTACAGATAATACTTTGCATCAGATATAAGTTTTTTCCTTTGTTGGTACGAGAGATCTTGGGATGTCCACTTTCTAACTAAGTAGTTTGCAATATCTGCAAACTGGGGTGGTTGAGTCACCACTGAGTCAATTGAAAAAATATGTTCATCAGGAAATTCTTCCTTTATCTCACTAAACTCAAGGGGAGGATTTTCTAATATAGACAAATGGCCAGCTACCTGATTCTCCGTTCCCTTTTTATCTTTTATCTTAAGATCAATTTCTTGCAGAAGTAAAATCCATCTTAACAACCTAGGTCTAGCATCCTTCTTTGCTAGGAGGTATTTCAAAGCTGCATAATCAGTGAAAACTGCGACCTTAGTTCTAATCAAATATGGACGAAATTTATCAAATGCAAATACTACTGCTAGTAACTCTTTTTCTGTTGTGGCATAATTAAGTTGAGCCTCATTCATTGTTGTACTAGCATAGTAAATGGGACAAAACATCTTATCTTTTCTCTGGCCTAAAACAGCTCCTACTGCTATATCACTAGCATCACACATAACCTCAAAAGGTTGATTCCAATCAGGAGACACAACTACATGGGCAGTTTATAACTTTTTCTTAAGGGTCTCAAATTCATCTAGGCAATCACTTGAAAAATTAAACTTAGTATCTTTCATCAAGAGGTTAGTCAGTGGTTTTGAAATCTTTGAAAAGTCTTTTATGAACCGTCTGTAAAAACCTGCATGACCTAAAACACTTCTAATGCCTTTAACAGTTGTGGGAGGGGATAATCCTGCTATAAGATCAATTTTAGCCTTATCAACTTCTATCCCTTGAGCAGTAATTTTATGTCCTAAAACAATTCCCTCATCAACCATAAAATAATATTTTTCCCAATTAAGAATCAAGTTTGTCTCTTCATATCTCTTAAGAACTAAAGTCAAGTGATAAAGACAATCCTCAAATGTTTTTCCAAAGAGTGTAAAATCATCCATAAAAATCTCGAGAAATTTATCGGTCATGTCAGAGAAAATTGCTAACATGCAACGCTGAAATATAGTAGGGGCATTGCATAAACCAAATGGCATTCTCCTATAAGAATATGTTCCATGTCGACATGTGAAGGTTGTCTTATCTTGATCTTCTGGTGCAATTGGTATGTGGTTATACCCTGAGTAGCCATCAAGAAAACAATAAAACCTATATCCTATAATTCTTTCCAACATTTGATTAATAAATGGCAAAGAAAAATTATCTTTTCTAGTAGCATCAATGATATGTTTGTAATCAATACAGACTCTCCATCCTATGACAGTCCTGGTAGGTATGAGTTCATTATTTTCATTTTTAATAACTGTCATACCTCCTTTCTTTGGCATTACCTAAACAGGATTTACCCAAAGACTGTCTAAATAGGATAAATGATACATGTCACCAGAAGTTTTACAATCTCCTTTTTTACCACTTCCTGCATTGCTGGATTCAATCTCCTTTGGGGTTGGACTATTGCCTTGTAGTTATCCTCCATGAAGTTTCTGTGAGTACAAACAACTGGATTAATTCCTTTGATATCTGCTATTTTCTACCCTAAGGCTCCTTTGTGTGTTTTCAAGATGTCAATTAATCTCTCTTCTTGTTCTGGAGTCAAAGAAGATGAAATAATCATTGGACATTGTTCTTTCTCAAGATATGCATAGTTTAAATGAGACGAGAGAATTTTGAAATCGGTTTTTGGCAGAACTTCTTCTGGTTGCATCTCCTAATCCTCATAATCCTTTTCTAATATTTCAGCCTCTCTTCTGATGGTGGGATCATCATCTTGTATGGTGCCTGATTTGGCAAAGCATATTTCCATTGAGTCTGGAGTTAATTGATCGTCTCTAACTTCATCTGTAAGATAACTAATCGTGTCAATTGAAAAGCATGAAGATGATGATTCATCTCTGAAAAATCTTAGTATCTTTTGCATGTCAAAAATGACCCTTTTTTCATCAACTCTTAGAATTAGTTGTCCTTGATGGACATCTATAATTTCTCTACCTGTAGCAAGAAATGGTCTACCCAAAATAATTAGTTCATCATGGCACTCCTTCATTTCAAGCACTATGAAATCTACAGGAAAAACAAATTTATCTACTTTCACAAGTACATTTTCAATTATTCCCTTAGGTTTCTTAGTACTCTGATCTGCAAATTGAAGAGAGACACCAAGATCTTTCAAGTCACCAAGAGAAAATGGCATCAAGTTTATTGAAGCTCCAGAATCGCAGAGTGCTTTTTCAAAATACATTCCTCCTAAAGTGCATGGAATTGTAAAACTGCCTGGGTCACCCAGTTTTTGAGGTAGCTTATTTTGAAGTATAGCACTACATTTTTCAGTTAGCATTACCACATAAACATCTTCTAATTTCCTTTTTCTTGATAAAATTTCTTTCAGGAATTTGGCGTAAGAAGGCATTTGCAACAAAGTATCAGTAAAAGGAATATTAATGTGAATCTGTTTTAAAATCTCTAAAATTTTTGCAAATTGACTATCAAGCTTTTCTCTTTTCATTTTTTGTGAAAAAGGAATTGTCACAGGGAGAGGTGTCATTTTTTCAATAATCTTCTCATCATTTTTCTTGACTTCTTTATCTTCTAATTATTCAAAGGGTGTTTCAAAATTCTTACCCTTGTTTACTTGTTGTTTTGATAGGTTCTTTTCTTGTCTGAAAGTATTGGGTTCATCAAGCCCCTTACCTGATCTTAAGAAAATGGCCTTAAGGTGTTCCTTTTTTTCTCCGTATTGTTCGATAAGGGGCCTTGAATATTTTCTGACACAAGAGTTGCCAATTGGCTCAAGTGGATTTTCAAAATTTTAAGGGCTGAATTTTGGCTTTCCATTTTTTCACTAGTGACCTTAATGTATTTTTACAAAAGGTCATCAAGACTTGGATGTGCTTGTTGAGGCTTTTGCTGATATGGAGCTGCTTGTTGATAAGGTCTGAAATTTGATTGCCATGATTTTGATTTTGGTAACTAGGTGGACCTTGTATTTGTGGCTTTTGGAAGCTCTGAGAGTTCTTATCACCATTTGGATTGCTCCATTGAAATCCTGGATGTTTATGTGCCATTTAACTTCCAAAGGGGTACTACTTGTAACCAATTGCATTAACCTGTTCATCATTTTGATTGATTGCTTGGCATTCATGATTCAGATGGTTTCCTCCACACATATCACAAGCCTCAAACTGGCTTGGTTGTTTTGTATTCACCTGAAAAGATTCAAATTTTTGTGCCAAAGCAACAATCTGTTGTGTTAGTGTGTTTAAAGCATCAACTTGATTTACCGTAGCGGCCCTTTTGATGATTACATGCTCAGATGGCCATTGAATGGCATTTTCAGAAATTTCATTCAATAACTGCAATGCTTCTTCTGAGATTTTTTCCATCACAAAACCTCCTGCAGCTGCATCAATCACATTTCTAGAAGAGAGTTTTAACCCGTGATAAAAAATATACAATTGCATGTGTTCAGGAATATCATGGTGCGAGCATTTTCTTAACATTGATTTTAATCTTTCCCAATCTTGATAAACTGACTCAGTATCAGTCTGTAAGCAATTAGATATGTCTTGCCTTAACTTTATTGTTTTAGCAGGAGAAAAATATTTATTCAAAAACTTCTGAGTCATCTGGTCCCATGTGGTAATTGACCCTTGAGGTAAACTTCGCAACCATGTTTTGGAATCTCCTTTTAAAGAAAAAGGAAATAGCCTTAACTTGATAGCTTCAAGAGGTACTCCATTGTACTTAGCAGTTTCAACAAGTTCCATAAAATCATTTAAATGACTGTGTGGATTTTCACTTGAATCTCTAGTGAAGATACAAGATTGTTGAATTGTTTGAATTAGGCCGGTCATGATTTCAATGTTGTTGGCTGCCACTGGAGGCTTCCTGACACTAGATTCACAGTTAAAGCGGTCAGGTCTAGCATAATCCCTTAGGATTCTGTTTGCTGGTCTTGGCGCCACATTATCAAACTGATCTTCTAAATGGACTGGTAGTGGTACTTTGCGTAGATTGTTATCATCTTCTAATTGATGCTCCATTCTGTCACAAGTTATCTTTGAGAAGATAATGTGTGTCCTTTCCTGCGCAATCGAAGAGATCTTTCAATTTCAGGATCGTAATTAGCCAACTCTTTTGTAGAAGAGCGGGTCATAAACTACTTAAAATTTTGAAAGTAAAAAAATATTACATTAATTCCTAATGTAGTGTTAGTAATTGATAACTAAACTAAAGAAAATTTCAAAGATAGATAGTTAGTGAAGAAAAACTAATACAATAATATTGTAGATACTAATACTAGTAATTAGGCTACTAAAAAAATATATATATAAAAAATAAAATATAAAAACAATGAAACTAACAAGCAAGTTTTAGTAGTAATACTAACAACTAATTGAGATAATAGAGACTTATTAACTATAAACAAAAGTTGGACTAGTGAATAATAATAGTTATCAGTGAGAATAACAGTGTAGAAGTACTAATGATAATAATAATAATAATATAATATTACAAAATAATAATAATAATAATAATATAATATTACAAAATAATAATAATAATAATAATAATAATAATAATAATAATAATAATAATAATAATAATAATAATAATAATAATGATAAGAAAATAATAATAATATGTAAACAACAAACTATATTGAAAATAGAAAGAGAAGTATGTCGAAGTACTGGCAATGAGAAACAAAAAATGATACAACAGGTGATAGTACTAGAAATAATTAAACTAAATATAATGATGGAAAGCTAATGATAGCAATAATAGGAAGAGGTACAANCTGTAGAAGTACTAATGATAATAATAATAATATAATATTACAAAATAATAATAATAATAATAATAATAATAATAATAATAATAATAATAATAATAATAATAATAATAATAATATAATATTACGTAAACAACAAACTATATTGAAAATAGAAAGAGAAGTACGTCGAAGTACTGGCAATGAGAAACAAAAAATGATACAACAGGTGATAGTACTAGAAATAATTAAACTAAATATAATGAGGGAAAGCTAATGATAGCAATAATAGGAAGAGGTACAATTTTTTTTTTTAAAGTGTTATTAATATGTAGTGATAATATTATCAGAAAAATAACAATAATAAGATCTCATATTATTAACAAAGTATTAAATCTGAAGTAGATGTATGCCAATCCCCGGCAACGGCACCAAAAATTTGATGAGGCCAATGTGTATAGGATATTTCTTCTCGTGCATTGTCAAATTCTAGTATAGTTTAAGATATCGTTCCACAGAGATTGAAAAATCTATGCTACAAACTTGTAATATTTTAGCTACTATTTGAGAGAACCAAAT